ACAGGAAACTCCCAAACCACATGAGCCTATGGCAGAGGTTGCAGGCCCGTGCCTAGCTAGTTGTCCAGAGACTGCTTGTGTCAGCGTCTCTCTAGGCACGTCCCTCACAGGCGTGGCAGAAGAGTTAAAGGAGAGGATGCCTGCCTGGGGCAAAATGAAGAAGGAGAGTAAGGGACAGCTGATCTTGGTAGACGTAGAAGTGTTTAGAAGCATAGTAGGATCCCTTATAGACTCAGGGGCCACCCGTAGTTATATTAGCCGTAGAGCGCTGAAAAAGCTAAGGCTATGATTAAAAGTCCAAAAGTTAGCAGACCCCATAGTCAGTGTCCTCGCAGACAATCGCACGATGCGTGTTGAGGACTATGTAGAGGGAGTCCAGGCGTACTTTCGCCTAGAGAAAGATGGGAAGGTGGAGAAAGTTGTCCATTCCCTGACTCTCCTCGTACAGGATGATCTTCCTTTCGACATGGTGTTAGGAATGGATTGGGGAGAGGCAGCAGGGGCCACACTCCACTTGAGAGAACATGAGTGTAGGCTCCCTAGTCCGTCAGGCGAGGTTAAGATTGCCTGCCTGTTTCATGTGTCAGGTGTAGACAACACCTTGGCACATTGTTGTCTCAGAGCTCCCGCGTTCGCGCGATTAGTCAAAAAGGAGCAGTTAGAGGAACAGGTCTTTGTAGTTTATGTTAGACCTGTCACTGAGGCTAAGGAAGAGGTGACTTCCACAGATCCAACCATTGCCAAGCTGCTGGAGGAGTTTAAAGACTTGACTGAGTCGCCGACAGGAGTAGTGCCGCGACCCATCCAACACAGGATAGAGATAGAGCCTGGCAGTAAAACTCCTAAGGGAGCAGTCTACAGGATGTCCTCTAGAGAGTTAGAGGAGTTGCGCAAGCAGTTAGACGAGCTCCTAGAGAAAGGTTGGATCAGGCCTAGTTCGTCTCCTTTTGGAGCACCAGTCTTGTTTGTCCCCAAGAAGGAAGGAGAGCTGAGAATGTGTATAGACTATAGGGGTTTGAATGCGATTACTGTGAAGAATGTTGAACCGCTGCCCAGGATAGACGATCTCTTAGATCGGGTGCAGGGTTGCAAGTATTTCTCTAAGATAGACTTGAAGTCCGGATACCACCAGATAGAGGTCCATCCTGATGACCAGTACAAGACTGCGTTCCGGACTAGATATGGGCAATACGAGTTTATAGTCATGCCCTTTGGACTGACCAACGCGCCATCGACTTTTCAGCGTTGCATGAACGATCTGTTTAGGCCGTGGTTAGATAGATTTGTTGTAGTCTATTTAGATGATATTTTAGTTTTCAGCAAGACCCTCCAGGAGCATCAGGGTCATTTGAGACAGGTCTTGGAGAAGCTACGAGAGGCTAACTTCAAGGTCAACGCAAAGAAGTGCGAGTGGGCCAAGACACAAGTCCTGTACTTGGGCCACGTATTAGACGGAGATGGCATTAAGCCAGAGGACAGCAAGATAGCGGCGATTAGAGATTGGTCGACGCCCCGCACATTGACAGAGTTGCGGTCGTTCCTTGGCCTAGCCAACTACTATAGAAAGTTTGTAAGGAACTTCTCTACTATCGCCGCTCCCTTGCGCAGGTTGCTTAAGAAAGAGACGATCTGGCAGTGGGACAAAAATTGTACATCTGCGCTAAAGAAATTAAAGCGCGCATTGATAGAGTACCCTGTCCTCAAGGTAGCTGATCCGTCTTTACCATTTGTCGTCACCACGGACGCGAGTCAGTATGGTATAGGCGCCGTGTTGCAGCAAGACGACGACAATGGCTATAGACCCGTAGAGTTCATGTCAGCGAGGATGCCCTCAGAGAAGTTTGCTACCTCGACGTACGAGAGGGAACTCTACGCTCTCAGGAAGGCTTTAGAGCATTGGAAGCATTATCTGCTTGGGAGGCACTTCAAAGTATACTCAGACCACGAAACTCTTAGATGGTTAAAGACCCACGCCAAGATGACACCTAAGTTGACTAGGTGGGCCGCTGAAATAGACCAGTATGACTTTGAGCTCAAGCCAGTGAAGGGCAAATACAATGTAGTTGCGGATGCTCTGAGTAGGTGATCAGACTACTTTGGGGCCATAGTTCACTACCTGGATATAGGGAGAGACCTGCAAGAGTGAGGCAAGCGTATGCGCAGGACCCTATCTATAGTGACCTCCTCAAGAGAGTCAAAGAGGCCCCAGAGACCGAACCACACTACCGCACTACAGAAGGGTTGCTGTTTGAGAAGACAGATGTATTCGACCGCCCATGCCTTCCCAACAGTGAGGAAATCTGCAGTTTGATCCTAGGGGAATGCCATGACACAGAGGGACCCTTCGGTTGGCAGGGGACATTAGCCAATCTGATGCGTGCGTACACCTGCACAGGGATGAAGAATGACTGCATAGAGTATGTCCGCAGTTGTAAGGTATGCCACAGGAATAAGACTACTACACGCGCACCCCTAGGTCTTCTCAGACCGCTGCCTATTCCTGATCAACCTGGAGACTCAATGTCCATAGACTTCATGGATACTCAGGTCAAGAGTAGGCATGGCAAGAGCCAAGTCATGGTCATAGTTGACCAATTTAGCAAGTATGCCGTTTTTGTTCCTTTGCCTGCAGAGGCACGCACATAATTAGTTATTCAGAAGTTTTTCGATCATTGGGTTAGTGAGAACGGAGTCCCATTATCCATAGTTAGCGATAAAGATAGTCGTTTCACCAGCCAGAACTGGCAAGAACTCATGAGAGTTTACGGGTCAAAGTTGTTAATGTCATCTGGCCGTCATCCAAAGACCAACAGTCAGATAGAACAGATGAAAAAGATCCTACAGCAAGTGTACATTAGACCAGATCAGATCAACTGGGATGAGATGTTGCCTATGGTAGCTAGTGCATACAACAATAGCGTGCATCTATCCACCTGCCGCACTCCCAATGAGCTGCACAAGTCCTTTAGACCACGCAGACCATTCGAAGGACTGAACCGCGATCAGATTCACAGACTACCGCCCGGTACTAGGGAGTTCGTAGTACATCACGAGAAAGAACTAGCAATTGTTGTTGAGAACCTCAGGAAGGCCCAACACCGAATGATAAGCACCGTCGCCCATCGCAGTTTCAGGTAGGCGACTTAGTCTGGGTCAAGTCTAAAGAGTTTGCACCTGAGGAGCACATCTCGGAGAAGTTGCTGCCTGCCTATAGAGGACCGTGGCCAGTGCTAGAGGTCAAAGGCGGAGAGGATGGACCGTCCTACACTATCAAGATTCCAACACACCTCCACACATACCCTGTTTTCCATGCTTCAAAGTTGTTGCCGTGTGTCACAAGTCAACAGTTCCCTTCAAGGAGATCCATGATCCCCCCGGATATGGATGGAAGTTATGACATTGACGGCATTGTAGATGAGGATGTGTTCCGAACAGTAGGTAGAGATCATCCCCAGAAACAGTACAAGGTCCGGTTTGCTTATCAGGAACCGGAAGACGACCGCTGGTTTACAAGGACAAAAGTTCTAGAGACAGCTCCCGACATAGTCAGAGCCTATGAGCGTGATAAGAAGGGTAAAGGTCCTGCCTTGGACTGAAATATTCTCGAAGGACCTCGAATTTAGGACGGCGGGAGTGAACCGGTTTTCACCTCTTTGC